GTGTGGTGGCGGGCACCTATAATCCCAGCTACTCGTGAGGCCGAGGCACAAGAATTACTTGAACCTGGGAGGCGGAGGTTGCAGCTAGCCGAGGTCGTGCCATTGCACTCCAGCCTGGGCGACAAGAGCAAGACTCCATCTCAGAAACAAACAACAACAAATACAAAAATTAGCCAAGTATGGTAGCGCATGCCTCTAGTCCAGCTATTCAGGAGGCTGAGGCAGGATAATCGCTTGAACCGGGGAGGTAGAGGTTGCAGTGAGCCAGGATCACACTATTGCACTCCAGCCTGTGTAACAGAGTGAGACTCTGTCTCAGTAAATAAATAAATAAATAAATAAATAAATAAATAAATAAATAAAAATGTTAACAGACTTCTTGTTGAAAACAATGCAAGCCAGAAAATGTCTCAAATAAATAAAAATGTGAACGGACTTGTTGACAACAATGTAAGCCAAAAAACAGGCTTTAACGCAACATCTTTAAACTAGTGAAAGAAAAAAAAACCTGTCAACCTAGAATTTTATATCCAGCAAAAATTTCTTTCAAAAATGAAGATAAAATAGTTTTCAGACATAGAAAAGCTGAAATAATTCATCACTAACAGACGTGAAATACAAGAAATGTTAAAGGAAGTACTTCAGGCAGAAGGAAATGGTATGAGGTAGAAATCTGGATCTATACAAAGGAACAAAGAACATCAGAAATAGTAACTATGTAGGTTAATATAAGAGTCTTTTCTTATTATTTTTTAAATATACTTAAAAGATACTTGTTTAAGCTGGGTGCAGTGGCTGATTAGGGAGGCTGAGGCGGGTGGATCGCCTGAGGTCAGGAGTTCAAGACCAGCCTGGCCAACGTACATAGTGAAACCCTGTCTCTACTAAAAATACAAAAAATTAGCTGGGCATGGTGGCGGGCACCTGTAATCCCAGCTACTAGGGAGGCTGAGGCAGGAGAATCACTTGAACCCAGGAGGTGGAGGTTGCAGTGAGCCGAGATCGTGCCATTACACTCCAGCCTGGGCAACAGGAGCAAAACTCCATCTCAAAAAAAAAAAAAAAAAAAAGATACTCGTTTAAAGCAAAAGTAATAACCAAGGTTTTTAATATACAAGAAAGTAGAATATATCACAATAGCATAATATCTAGGAGGAGAAAATGGAAATATATTGTTGTAAGGTTCTGATTCTATACATGAAGTGGTATAATATCACTTAAAGGTAGACTGTGATAAGTTAAAAGTATATACAACGATCATAAAGCAACCATGAAAATAATACCACAAACAGCTAATAAGCCAACAAAGAAAATAAGATTGAATTATACAAAATACATAATCCAAAAGGCAAGGAAAAACAGAATAAAAAGGGAATAGGTGTGACAAATAGAAAAAAAAATAGCAAGATGGTAGAGTTAAATCCAAACATAATCAATATTAACATTAAATGTCAATGATTTAGACATCTCAATAAAAAGGCAGATTGTCAGATAGGATTTTTTTAAGCGAAAAATGAGAGACCATGCCGGCCTCTATTAACAATTAATAGAGCAAGAAGACAGAAAGTTATAAGCATACAGATGACTTGACCAATACTATCAACCAACTTCACCTACTTAACATTCATAGAACACTGCACCCAGAAACAGCAAGTTTTTTTCAAATGCAAATGAAACATTTACCAAGACAGACTATATTCTGAACCATAAAACAAGTTTTAACGCATTTCGGAGGATTCAAATCATATAAAGTATGTTATCTTAGAATTCAATAACAGAGGCCAGGCACGGTGGCTCTTGCCTATAATCCCAGCACTTTGGGAGGCCGAGGCAGGCAGATCATCAGAGGTCAGGAGTTCAAGCCCAGCCTGGCCAACATGCTGAAACCCTGTCTCTACTAAAAATACAAAAATTAGCCGGGTTTGGTGGCACATGCCTGTAATCCCAGGTACTCGGGAGGCTGAGACAGGAGAATTGCTTGAACCCGGGGGGTGGAGCATGAAGTGAGCCAAGATTGCACCACTGCACTCCAGCCTGGGTGACAGAGCAAGACTCCCTCTCAAAAAAAAGAAAAGAAAAAGAAAAAAGAAATCAATAACAGAAAGATAGCTGGATAATCCCCCAAATGTTTGGAAACTAAACACTCTTCTAAATAGTCCATGGGTCAAAGAAGACACCAAAAGAGAAATTTAAAGGTATTTTGAACTGAATAACATTGAAAACACAACATATCAAAATTTGTGGGATGCAGCTTTTTCTCTGATGGATTGACAGTGGAAAAGTGACAAACAAGAATTGACGTGAGAAGAAACATTTACTGAGTACTTACAAGGCCTCATGCATACATCATCTCACTCGGCCTTCCTAGTAGCCTGTGTGGTAATGATAACAAACATCTGCCATCTGCCTATGCAGCCAGGTAGTGTTCTAAGAGTTTTTATATATTAATTTGCTCAATGTCATTACAATCCTATGAGGTAGGGACCATTATTTACATTTTACAGACTCTGAGGGCACTGATGCACGTGGACATAGAGTCACTTGCCCAGTATCACATCACTAATAAGAGAAGGACCCTGTATTCAAGCACAAGCAGTGGACTCTGAGCCTATGCTCCCAACCATGACACTACCCAAGGTTGATATGAAGAAACCACGCCTAGAGACTTTGAGTACTCACCAAAGTTACCCAGCTAATAAGTGGGACTCAAACTGAGCTCCGTTCAGCTCCAACCTCTCCTTTTTCCACCCTTCTCCTCTGCCTCCCTGTGTTGGCCTCAGTTCTAATCTCAGGAGGACTGGCTGTATCTATAAGGCAGACCTTGGGGAGGAGGGCCCAGGATACATAGATTACAATCTCAAGGGATGTGGGGAGAAGCATGCCAGTACTGAGCATGAGGTAAGAGATAAGACACCTGAGCCACTGCAAATATCTGTTGAGGGCTGGGGTTCTTGACCCAAGTGGGTGACACAAAAAGATCTGCAGAGGATGGAAGGGGAAAAAAATAAAAATGCCATCACAGAGCTGTGAATGGAAACAATACTACCCTAGAATCAGGAAGCCTCGTTATCACCCTGGCCAGTTCTAGAGGCTGCTACTTGACAATGTCTATGTCCAACAACAGGAAATGGAGAATGAAGAAGGCTGGAGATGTTCATCAGGGCAAGAAAGTCTGGGCTCTGGAAACAGTTGTGCCTGGGTTAGAATCCCAACTCTAGAGTCCTACATTGCTACTTATTTGCCCTATGAGCCAGTTTCCTCATGTGTCAAATGGTACAATCATACCTTCTTAAAGAGTTATTAGGCCAGGTGTGGTGGCTCATGCCTGTAATCCCAACACTTTGGGAGGCCGAGGCAGTCAGATCACTTAAGGTCAGGAGTTTGAGACCAGCCTGGCCAACATACTGAAACTCCATCTGTACTAAAAATACAAAAATTGGCTGGGCATGGTGGTGTGTGCCTGTAATCCCAGCTGCTCAGGAAGCTGAGGCAGGAGAATTGCCTGAACCTGGGAGGAGAGGTTGCAGTGAGCTGAGACTGCACCACTGCACTCTAGCCTGGGCAACAGAGTGAGACTCTGTTTCCAAAAACAAAAACAAAAACAAAAACAAAAAAAACAAAAAGAGAGCTATTATGAGAGTTATGCAATATGTATAAACAGTCAAGCCCAATACAATACACATACAATTAGAATTCAATAAATGATCACTGTTATTCATACTAGTTACTAGATACATGAATTTGGATAAGGCTGTGGAGAGTGCACACACATTCACAGCCTGGGATGTATCCACACCACACACAGCAGCCGAAATATGTTCATCCATTCACCCTATAATTTGCTTCTGAGTACCTACTAGATGCCAGGAATGATACGAGGTCCTGGGAACACAAAGCCCTCATAGACCTTATATTCTAGCAAGGGAAACATGTTTAATAAGCATTTCAGACTCAGTTGTACGATTTCAGTGGGGTTATATAACATGGAAGAGTACTTGAATGGTACTTGAAGGGTACTTGAATGGTATTTGAAGGTTACTTGAATGGGATATAGCAGAGGATGGAAGATCTGGTCCAGCATGAGAAATCAGGAAGACTTCTTCAAGGAAGGATGTGTAGACTGAGATCTCAAAGACAGAAGCGCTCCCTCTCCATGTGATGCCCTTTGCTGCCCCGGGTCTCTGAAGAGTCCCCACCAGCAAGAAGTCCTTCACCAGATGCAGCCCCTCGACCTCAGACTCCCTAGCCTCCAGCACTATAAGAAATACATTTCTTTTCTTTATAATAGTTACCCAGTCTCAGATATTCAGCTATAGAAATAGAAAATTGACTAAGATACCATATGACCCAGAAATTCCACTGCTAGGCATATAGGTAATACCCAAGAGAACTGAAAAACATGTTCACACAAAAACTTGTATACAAATGTTCATAGCAACATTATTCAAAACAGCCAAAAAGTGAAAACAATCCAAATGTTCACCAACTGATAAGTGGACAAAAAAAATGTGGTATATGCATACATTAGAATATTATTCAGCCATAAAACAGAATGAAGAAATGATATCTGCTACGACATAAATGGACCTGGAAAACACGGTGCTCAGTGAAGGAAGTCAGACACAAAAAGCCACATAATGTATGATGCTATTTATATGAAAAGTCCATCATAGGCAAATCCAGAGACAGAATAAGTAAATTTTAAAAAGCAGAAGAGAGCTGGGTAAAAAAATAGGTGGGGGATATGTGAGGCAAGGAGTTGATCGTCACGTGGGAAAACCTGAAAAGCAAAAGGGAAAAGGCTCAAAAAAAAAAAAAAAAAAGGCTGGAAAGGAGGGCAGGGCCTTGCAGACCAGGTTTCCACCACTGGTAGAAGAAGGGTGCAGATGAGATACGCTATCAGGCCGGCTGGCTCTAGATTTCTAAGGCTCTACGGGCTGGGAACTGGAAACAGGACGGGCCCAGGCGCCCCCTGCTGTAAGGCGGGCCAGGCAGCTTACCCCTCAGGTGGGTCTTCAGAGCCCTGTCATCTATCAGCTCCAGGTGCTGCCAGACCCATCTGTGGTAGGAAGGGGAGGCACCAAGGTCCAACAGCCGCAGGACTTCACAGCTGCCCTGAACACAGCAAGAGACACAGCAAAAGGGTTAACCCCTAAGGCTCCAGGCAGGCCAGGCTTTGAAGAAAATCTCTCTGAATTGCATCTTATCCCATTTTATTTGCTTAATGCAAGTGGTTTCAGGATTTTTGTTTGTTTGTTTTTGTTTTTGTTTTAAGATGGAGTCTTACTTTGTTACCCAAGCTGGAATACAATGGGGCAATCTCGGCCCACTGTAACCTCTGCCTCCTGAGTTCAAGTGATTCTCCTGCCTCAGCCTCCTGAGTAGCTGGGATTATAGACATGTGCCACCATGCCTGGCTAATTTTTGTATTTTTAGTAGATATGGGGTTTCACTATGTTGGCCAGGCTGGTCTCGAACTCCTGACCTCAAGGATCCACCTGCCTCGACCTCGCAAAGTGCTGGGATTACAGGTG